CATGGGCTGCTGGCATCTTCCCTAAACCAGTGGAGAGGAGCAGGGACCACATTCAGCAGCCAGACCTGGGGGAGCTCTGCTCACAGTTCACCTGCATCTGAGTTCTCAGGATCTAAGGGCCCTCCCAGCACAGGATCCCCTGGGCCTGGGCCTGTCCCTTCAGATCTTCACCAGGAGGCCAGCTCCCTGCAGAAGGCTGAGGGGCAGCGTGTGCTTCAAGCGACTCAGAAAGAAGGGATGGAACATGCCAATCTGGAGCTAGAGAAGCTGCTCAGAGCCCGCTCTGGGAGGGGTGTGATCAGCAGAATCATGAGCCTCCTTTCATTCCTGAGCCTTCCTTCCCAAAGCTTCCCTAGGCCTCTCTGAAGACCTGGAGAGGAGGGCAGGGCAGACTCCTGGCTCGCAGTGGTGGCCCTTCTCTTCACTCCCTCTCCCTGCGCTTCTCACCTCCCCTCGCTCTCTGACACTACAACACCAACAGCCCATACTGCTATGGGCTGCCTAGACCCACTCACAGCCTCCCACCTGCCCCCTGCCCAAGACTCCTGTTTCAGAATAACTCAAATTACTAAATATTGGTTCAATTGGAGGAGGAAGAGGAAGAATGAAGTAGTAGAAAAAAGGGAATATATCCCATTTACTTTATGAGTGAATGATACTCCCCAATGCCCTGCTTTATTAATTTTGCTATTAACATTTGCCACTCTGCTAAGGGATTAAATGACACAAGTCACCTTAAGTACTTACTTTGATGGCTGACACATAGTTAGTGCTCTCTAAATAGTACCTACTATTGGTTCTCTCTGTTCCTCTTTTTCCTGGGGTTTCCCGTCCGCTCTTTCAGCCCCAGCCTCTCTCTGGACAGACCCCATTGAATCAGAGGCTTGACCTGGGAGCTGGCCAGGGGCTGAGCAGCCGGGATAACTGCATAGGTGCCCATTCCTAGCCCAGTCCTCAGTCTTCACGGCCTGTGCTGGTGTCTCGCAGGTGTGCCTCAAGGACCAGCTGCGCCTGCCTGATTCCGCTGCCCGGCCTATGAAACCCTGCATGCTGGGCGCACAACAGAAGTCTCTTCTTTCCTCCTCTCCTGGTGTCCTGCAGCATCTTGTCCCTGCTCTGGGCTTGGCTCCCCCTGCTGGAACCTTTCCTACCTGCCCGCGTGTCTTGTGGAGAGCTGGCAGCAGTCCTAGAGACACAGGCGTACTAGGGCAGGAAGGGTCCAGAGAGGCCCTTCAGGACACATAGCGAGGACCAGAGAAGGGAAGTGACTTTCTTAAGGACACACAGCTGGCTAGGGTGCAGCCACAGGGAGCACCAGAGTTGCTGACCCTCACTCTGGTGCTATTTTATCCTCTGGTGCTGTCTCCCAATTTCTCCTGGTGGCCCTACTTGGCCAAGGCTGCTTCTGTCCTCTGAGCTTCTGACAAATCTTAACACATCCACCACCACCATGTTAACAACAGCAGCCACCATGAATTGAGCACTTATTCTCTGCCAGAGACTGGGTTGGGGCTGCTTTTCATATATGTCACTGACCCTCCCAGCAACCCTGCAGGTCGGGGGTGTTAGTGGTAGCCCCATTTTACAGATGAGTATACTGAGACTTTCAGAGACTCACGTGCCTCAGGCCACACAGTTTAGCTGTGGAGAACACAACATCTAACTGCAAAGCCATGAGCTCTGTTCCCCGTCCTTGACTTGATTTGCTGGACTCCCGTGGACTGAGGGGGCAGGGCAGCGCCTCCCTGAGGACTCACAGTGCTCATCTCATGGACTGTGAAAAACTGGGCACAACGGATAGGGCTTAGCGGAATGGAGGGAGAAGGCATGGTGTTTGAGAGGGGGAAGGTTCTGTAAACACGCTTGTGACCCCAAACTTACTTCTGTAGGGATGAGACCTGATAATAGAATGAGTGAACTTCAGGATTCTTGCTAGACTGGGATAGGAATGTGTGTTTTGCTGATTTGGTTATAACCAGAGTTTCTGGTTCTGGCTCTGATTTCTTTTTGCACGTGACTTTTATTGCAGAAAGCTTCTCTCAGCCTGTTCTCATTAAATCCCAAATTAAGCAAGAATCCCAACAGGAAGAGAGCAGCTGCGGGAGACCAGGTCTCACTCCTTCGCGCTGTGTGTGCGGTCGGGTGTGTTTATTTGATTTGATCTGTGTGTGTATGTCCCCTTTTAAGAAAATTTAAAAATAGCTTTCTGCCAAAGCTGTGGGCACACAGGGCAGTGTTGCTGAGTGGGTGTCCTCGTCCCGCCCGTGGTCTGCTGCTCTGCTGATGTGGCCTGGCTGACGTGGGCAGCTCCTCTGCCTGCAGAAGCCCAGCCTCTCCTTTACTGTGTTTCCCAAGAGGAAAGGCCCGGGAAGCTATGGGGAGGGAGAGGCTGTCTGGTGGAGGAACTCAGCTGTGGGGGACAGAGCGAGGGGACTGGCTTTGTCTGATTTCACTTGGGAACCCAGGGACCTGGGTCCAAGTCGCTCAGGGATACCAGCATGAACCCCAGAGAGTGTACCCAGGGCAGAGTGTGATTGTGCCCATTTCACACACAGGAAGACTGAGAAGCTAAGAGTGGAAAGGATGCATGAGTTACATGCCAGGTCTAGAGCTAGCCTGGCACCATGTGTCTCGAACCAAATATTTATAGGCCCTAGAGGGGTTCACCTACTCCTTTCCCTATGTCCTCTTTCTAACATTCACAAGATTCCCTATACAACAAAACTAAGTGGTGTCATGGTTTGGCAGTGATTTTTTTATGGGTTTTTTTAGCCTAAATTTCTGTCCATTCATGTATTGCACAGGTATTTATTGAGAACTTATTTTGTGCTCACCAGTATGCTAGGGATTGGGGATACAGTAGTGAGCAAAGCACTCAGGCCCTGTGACCTGGTGGAGCTTGGGTTCCAGTGGGGGAGACAGATGGGAACCGGATAACCATACAGCCACATGGCTGCCAATTCTGATGCATGGGACGAAGACAACATAAAGGGTTTGATGTGTGCTCCTAACATGGGACCTGGCCTAACCTCGGGGCCAGAAGTCTGTGTTGAGTGTTTTCAATCAGCCATTTGTACTTGGCAGTTGTTTTGTTTTTGTTTTTGAGCCTAAGTATAGGAATTTAAAAATTGTTCTTTTAAACATCCTGTCAAGCTCTGGTTCACTGTGCTGATCTTTCAGTGTTGTGTTTAATATCCAACTTCTTAGCTGTTCTCACTTGCTCTGTGTAACCCACAGGTTTGATAGACAGGCCTTCCATGTTTTTGTCCAAATCATTGTCCTTGGTTCTGTCCAATTCAAAATGACTTTCCAGTCCTGTTGCCCACCACCAGAGACCTCCGTCTAGGAAGACTCAGATCCAGATTCATCTCCACTCCTCAGTGGTGGACAGCATTGTTTTTTGGATTCATTTCTTCCTTTATTAGACATAAAGTATTCAAATATCTACATGCAAGGTCTTCCAGAATCTGGGGTGTATATTGAGTCTTGTCCAAGGACTTAATTGATTTAAAGGTGTTCTCTGCAACAGTGTCTACCTCAGGCTTCAGATCTCTCTGGTCCAATTTGTTCAACCATTCTCTTTGGAAGAAAAGATGGAATCAAATTAGGTATCGATTCACCCTTTTCCCCATGAGTCCCTCAAAGCTGCACACCACGACTCCTGTAAAACCTCTTTTCCCTTCCACATGTGTTTTTTTAGGGAGGGGCAGAAGTGGAGAGCAGATAGTGACAGGGAGAGTTGGGGCACAGGGTAACGCAGTGGTTCTCAAAGTGTGCCCTGGGGACCCTTGGCATCCCTGAGACTCATTCAGAGGCCATGAGGTCCAAATTATTTTTGTAATAAAATGTCGTTTGCCTTTTTCACTTCTATCTCCAGTGTACAGTGGAGTTTTCCAGTGGCTAAAAATACTGTGATGTCACAACAGACTGGATGCAGAAGCCAGTATGAAAATCAAGCGGTCTTCTTATAATCCAGACATTAAAGAAATTTGCAAAAATGAATGACTCTTGTTACTAGGCTTTTTTTTGTTTTGGAAAATATATTTTCCTTTTAAAAGTGTTATTTATGTTAAAACATAATGGGCTTATTATTGATGCTTTAAAATGGATTAATATTTCTTAATTTTAACTTCTAATACAGTAAATATTGACAGCAATAATTCACACGCAAAAGCTCTTTGGGATCCTCAATAATTTTTAGGAGTATAAATGGTCCCTGAGACCAAAAATTTGGCAGCTGCTGAGCTAGAGGGTAGGGGGCAAATAGGTGTCACGAAAATACCGGTTACTCAGGAATCAGACATGAGCCAATGGAAAGGCTTAAATTCATGTCATTCCTGATTCGGACATCAGTAGTCTGTCCCAATGTGTGAGTTGCGTAGGAGGAGCAATTCCTTTGGAATGGTGGAAATGCCTTCTCTCCCCTGGAGGAGAGGGATGCGGCTGGCCATCAGCTTGCTACCATGTTTTAGAGGTATGCATCAAGGACCAGTCTTGAAGCTCCCCAGGGTCAGGATCAGTGCTGCTAAGTCCTGTTGGCAACGTGAACACAGTCTGTGGAGCCTGATTCAAATCTCAGTCCAGATTCCTTAAGACAAATTGCAGCCCGGGAGTTCCCCGTCCATCCGCTCTCTGGGCTTGTTCCCAATCCGGAGATCATAAACAGGCTTCTTCAGCTTGAGGAAGGAGCTGAGTCTCAGGAGGCAAGTGTCCCATGAGCCCTGGGTGGTAATCCCAGGCCAGAAGTGCCAAGGGATGAGTGGTGCTCCAGGCCAGATGTGGAGTTGGGGATGTGCCCAGCACTTCCAAGGGCTCAGCTCTCTGCTCGACAGTGTCCTCCCTTTGTTCCCCACTCAGATTGAAATCTGCAGCTCAGAACAAGTAAAAACCTGTGAGCTTCCACCCCTTGTTTCCCCGGACTCCATTGAGAGCCTCTGCAGCTGGCAGCCAGAGGTTGCAAAGGTCACCCCAGCTGGGCGGATTAAAACAACAGATCTCCCTGACCGGGTGAAGTTGGCTGCCCAGCGAAGGCAAGTTGCAACATCTGTGAGCAGAGTCAGACAAACGGCCCCGTAACTTTCTCAGTCTGGCTCTGGGCTCTGCAGCCCGTCCCTGGCTCTCCTTCACCGTCTTCCTTCTCTGACGGACCTTGGACAGGAATCTCTGCAGCACAGCGGCAAAGCGTGGCTGCCCATGCGTCCCACCTCATGGGAGAGCTGCCCGAGGAAGAGGCCACGGTAAGGCGTGTCCGTTCTCTGGTGTGTGACCCTGCCCCACTGTTCACTCCCGTGGGTCACAGCAAGTCAGCCTGGCACGGCCACAGCCAAGGAGCAGTCCCCTCTCCGGGATTAGGAGTGATTAGGGAATCTGTCGGGATTTGAGTGCACTGCGGAGAGAGGATTAAGGTGGGGAGAGTGGAACTGTCGCTGCCTGGGGTGTTTGCACCTGGGTGGTTTTGCTGCTGGATATGTGAGTTTGCTGTCGCCTGCCAGCCTGCAAGTTCAGAGCCTGTTGGGGATCCCTTCCCTGTGGGGAAGGTTTGATATTTCCAGGATGCTCCACTGCCTGACCAGGTGCTCGAAGACGACGGTCATTTAAAATGTATGCGCCTTGGGTAGGGAGGGTGCGACTGGTTTCTCTAAACTTCTTCTGCCATATAACTTGATTCTTGATTTTTAACTTTTATCTCAGTCTCTTTGCCTCAGAATTGCCCTCTTTTGGCTGTAGTTGAAAGTGCTCCTTTCTGGGTTCAAAAGACAATTTAAAGTGCTTTTGATCAAATTAAGTCAAATTAACTCAGTGCTGTTTTGAGATTAAAAAATTCTGTGACTTGTGAAAACCTAATTTGGAGCTGAGCTTGGCCCAAGCATCGTGGGGGCAGCTGCTTCCAGCTCTCAGACGGCTGCTTTTGGACCCCTCTCCTCCATTTCTTCTCTTCTTCCTTCTCTGTCCTTTGATCTTGGGATCACTGATATTGAATGAAACCCCCTAGAGGGGGGTGTGTTTTATTCTAGCCGCTGAGCACTGCTCCGTGGATAGAGAATTTGTTGCAGAATTTACCCAGGCTCTCTGGTGTTCCTGATTGGAATGTGGTCACCGGCTGGACAAGGGATTAGAAGGGAACAAAGATTGTTTGGTTTGATTTATTATTATTTTTTTTTGACAGAGCATTCCAAATATGTCGGTAACCATTAATTGGCAGTGCAGATGGAATCTGTTTGTACTGCTCATGGCAGTGGGCGGGGCGATGGGCTGAGCGGAGCTGTTTGGTGTGCTGGCCAGCCTGGGACTGGGCACTGGTCCTGCCCACGTGATAGTTAAGTAACTGCCCCCTGCCCCCCACTGCCTCGCAGGGGACTGGATGTCTCCTGGCTATATGGACTTGCCTGTTCATTTTCTAAGGTGAAGCCAGACCCCTCCTCTGAATGGATGACTTCTGTCTTGTGTGTTCTTGAGGCCAAACATGTTCTTTTGATGAGAGCATCCAGGGTCTTCAGATTTAGATGCACCTCAGGAGGTCTTGGATCAAGAGGATTTGTAGAGAGGGTCCTGAGCCTAATGTCACCACTCCTAGTTTCCAGCTCCCCCAAAAGCAGAGGTGGAAGAGTCTCGTGTCTCCCAAAGCCAGGCCTGAGAGCAGAGGGGAACCACATTCCCTGCCCCCTTCCTCTGTGCAACTCTCAAGCCTCTGCCTACTGCCTCTCCCTTTACTGGGATAGCAGGAGAACCTCATCTGGGTCCTGGGGCCTCCAGGATGCCCTCAGGGTATGACCACCATCAATCTTGGGTTTGGTTTCCACTTCTTAGCCGTGTGACCTTGGACAAGCGTAGCTGGCTTTCTGAACCTTGGTGTTCTCATTTGTGAAAGGAGCACAGTCAGAACTGCCTCTCGACACTGTGGGGACTGAGTGAGGTTAGTGCCCAGCGTGGTGTCAGGGGCATGCAGCCTGCCCGTTAAATGGCGCTGCTAGAATAGATTCATGGTGTCAGGGGCATGCGCCCTGCCCGTTAAATGGCACTGCTAGAACAGACCCAACAGTGCTGCAGGAGCTGCCAGTGGGCCTCAGGCCCTCCTTCCCCACCTTTTCGCCGAGTTCTGCCCTCTGCCTCCTGCTGCTGTTACACAGTAATCCCACTCAGATGCCCTTGCCCTGAGGATCATCAGGCTGGCCTGGGCTTCTTGCTGGCCTTGGTGAGAAGGGTCTGTCCTGCAGGGTGGGGAAACTGATTTCCCTTTGGGACCTGGATGATGATGATGATGATGACGGCTCCCACAGATGGAATGCCTTTTATGCTGCACTGTGTGTTTTATGTCCACTCTCATTCAAATCCTCCCTTCAGCCTTGTGAGGTTGATACTCTCATTCCCATTTTACAGAAAAGGAAACTGAGGCCAAGAGAGTTGAAGTACCTTGCCAGCCCACAGCTGGAAAGTAGCAGTGCCCCTGGATTTGTGCAGGGTCTGACCCTCATGACACCTGCTCCCACCTCCTCCCCACCCCTGGTGCTGGCTGCACATCACCTCGGTGGCAGTGGAGGAGGGCAGAGGGTGTGCTCCTAGATAGCTCTGCAGAATGTGAGAACCACATTCCTTTCCCACTCTCGTGTTACCACACTCGCCCCACACACATGCAGTTTTTCACCCTGGTCTCCCTTGCACCTAGCTTGGCACATGGTAGACGCTCAGTCAATATATTTTAATTGAGTGAACGAATATGTCTTGATTCTTGCATTTAAAATTGTATCACGATTACTTTGAAATGGTTCTGCAAACACATACACAAGCACAATGGTATAAATAATTGGCAAAATGTTAATTGTTGAATCTAGGTGATGGGTATTTGAGGTGCTTATTATCCTTTCTACTTTATGTTTGAAATTTCCCATGATAAGACTTATTTTTAGTTTTAAAATTTCTATATCATTAAATTCCTATCATTATTTTCTTTGTAAATATACACTCATATAACTGCCTGATATTCCACTATATTTTACCAGTTCTCACTGTTAGGTATTTAATGGGATTTTTTTTCCATTCCTATTTAACTGGATTATTTTTCTATTTGTTTTGCTATAAATAATTGATTAGCGTTCTTGTGTATAAATTTGGGGCTGCATCTCTAATTCTTTCCCAATAATACATTTCTGAATGTAGGATTACTGGGAAAAGAGATGGACATTTTATTCAGAATCTTTTTGCCAAATCGCTTTCTGGAAAAATTGTACCAATTTATATCCCCCTGGCAGGGTATGCGTTTGCCCAACTCACCACCATCTCACCAGCGTTCTATGTTATCTTTCTTTTTACATGTTAATTTGGTTAGTTTTTTAAGATAATAGCTTGTTTTTAATTTGCTCTCTTGGATTCTCAGTGAGGCCAGGCAGCGTCCATTTCTCTAGTGGTCGTTTGTCTGTCTTCTGTGAACGGTGCGGGTCATAGCCTCTGCCCGTTGATCTGTCTGACTGTTTTCTTCTTATATGTAAAGTGTCCTTGTCGTTTCTTTTTGTTGCAAATGTTTTATCACAGGTTATCATCCATCTTCTAATGTTGCCAGGGTGTGTTTTGGCACAGAAAATCTTAATTTTATATGTATGTGGTAGCAGCTTTCAGCTTTCTCCTTGTTACCCCAACCTCAGACCTCCTGCCCACCAGCCAACTCTGACTGCTTGCTGGAGGCAAGAGGGCCCAGTGGTTAAGAATAGGGGCCCTGGCACCAGACACCTGGGTTCAAGTGCCAGTTCTGCCCCCTACTCCATGCTATGACCTCGGGCAAGTTTCTTAATCTTACTGCGCCTCGGTTTCTAATGCATAAAATGGGGATGATGAGATTATCTGTCACATGGTGGTGTTGTGAGGAGCAAATGAGCTATTATTTATAAAGTGCCTGGAACGTTCCTGGCATACAGTAAATGCTACCTGAGTTTCGCTTTTATTCATTATCGATTGCAGGGAACCTGTGACGCTTATCTCTTGGAAAGGATTGTATTTGCAAAGCTAATACCTTCTCAGTGAAAGAAAAACTGGATTTGTCAAGCAGGGGATGTGCTCTATTACAAACAAATCTAGGTCTTTGTTACTTTAACTTGAACTTCAAAATGTATCTCCCATTTATTTTTGTTAGATGTTACTAAATTTGAAAAAAACTAATTACATGCCCCAGACACCACTACTCGTTTGTGTCAACTTGCCCTACTCACAGGATGAGATTTAAGTGTATGACTGAAGATCCCAAAAAAGTGAACAGAAAAATAAAAACTAGGAATGCTGTTCCTCTTTGGTTTAGCAGAGGTCTCTCGCACGCCTGCAATAGGCCAAGCGTCATGGATTCCATGGAGAGTTAGATGTGCTCCCCATCCCGGAGCCATCCCAGCCTGGTGAGGCTTCCACCTGGAGCAGGGGTCCTTAGGATGTATTCCAGGCAGTGGCTGCGTGTGTCTGGTAACCTTGGCTGGGATCTGACTACCCGGCTTCTCTCGCCTGCTGCCTGTTTTCCCAGCCTGGTTCTCCAGCCCTTCCTGTGGATTTTGGGAGCTCCTCCCACCCCCATCTTTCTAACAGGACCCTTCTCCGTTTATGAAAGCCAGAGTCAGTTTCTGTAGTTTGCAATCAAGAACTCAGATTTGTCCTTGGTACTAACCCCACTTCTGGAGTCAATCCTAAGGAAGTCCCTTTGTTCCAGCTAACCCTGCCGGTCCCCATCGCCATCTTGTCTAGTCCCAACTGGGCCCTGGACCAGGAGGCAGGAACCGGAGGGATTCTTGCCAGGGATGCCATCATTTGCTTTGTGTCTTTGGGTGAGTGCCTTACCTTCTCTGGGCCTCAGTTATAAACGGAGGAGTTAGCCTGGATAGTATTAAAACATACCCTTCTCTGACCTTCTCTGGCATTTGAGGCTTTTCACAGTCTCCTCCCCAGAAGTGGGATGTCCTCCCTGCCCTTGCTTCCTTCCCTTCACTCACCCACACACTCTCACCTCACCTCACCCAGGATCCTTGCCATACTAACCCCAAACTCCTCCCGTTCTTGGAGTATAGATCCTGTTTTTCTTTAGCTCGTGAGTTCTCACTGTTCATGCAGAAGCGGCTTTTACTTTCTACCACCAGGGCCTAAGGAGGATGTTAGTTCTGAAGGGTCCGTGACTATTAGGTCCTGATGCCAGGTACCCGTTCTAAAATCTCTGAGAACCATTTGGTTTCTTCTCTGTCCTAGCCCCAGCCGCCCCTTTCCTAGAAGTTCTCCATGGCGTTTTGGGGAGGCCAGGGAGTGGCCCTGGGGGCCGTCGTCTGGGGTGGGCTGGGCCTCACCCTGGCAGCCTTGTGTGCGGGAGACACAGAGCCTCTTGTTCCCAGAGAGGAGCTCCAGGTGGATCCTGACCTCATGGGGCTCCCCGTAAAACCCACGGCCCCGGGCCCACCAGCACACGGGCGCGCTGCCTGCAGGGAGGCAGGGCTGCACTTTGTCTCCTCTGACCTGGCCTCCCTTCCTGTTTGCAGACCATGGGGGATGTGAAGCTGGCTGCCTCGGCACACGGTTCCAAAACCTCCCACAGTGCGGATCACTCGAGAGTCGGCTCCATGCCCCTGAAGGAGGCCCCTGCTTTCATTTTGCCCCCTCGGAACCTCTGCATCAAAGAAGGAGACACCGCCAAGTTTGAAGGGAGGGTAAGGAGCTTGGCTGGATGGAAGGCTTGGGGGGAGATGGGGTAGGGGCTGTCGCTCCTTCTGGAGCCTTCTCCTCAGCAGGCTGGATCTGGGAGAAGGCCTGGTTTTCTTTTGGACCCACATATAAAGGGAGTATGTACCAATGTGCCCTATTCCTTTTGTTTATGATTGACTTTGGTCTGTATTGGAGAACTCAGGGTGGCAGTGGGGAGGGACACAGATGTTTTGCTGGTGATGTAGGTCATGTTCTGGGTATGTGCTGCCTGACTATAGGAGAAGACATGGGCTGGTGGCAGGAAGGGTACAACTTGGGTTTCAGTATGTGCCCTCAAATCTGGACAGTTGACAACTGGCTGTAATTTTTTCTCTCACTCCGTCCCTGGAAGGAATGTTTAGTTAACTGACCCTCTTGTGTATCCAACTGCTACATCCAGAGCAGTGGGATGGGAGATAGGACCCCTTATTTCAGTTCTGTCACCTTTTGCTAATGAATACTGGTCTCTTGCCCTTCCTGGGCCTCCATTCCTTTCTCTGCAAATGGGCAGGATAATTCCTTGTCCACCTTATATTAGAGAGGAGAGGAAGAGGGAACATGGAAGAAGATCTAGAAGACTCTCTAAGGTTACGCCCAGTTGGAGAGACTTTGTAACCTGCTGGCTCAGGCCACCAGGAAGTCACATCATCAACTTGACTCGGAGATGCATGTGGAAGTCAGGGGGTTTGCAAATAATATTTGCGCTGGGATTAAATTCAGGGGATCTACCCCAGGAAAAGCTTTAGAAGCTAGAAGGCTTTGATCTGAGCAAAAGACACCTGAGGTGCTGAGTTGTTCATAGGTTGTGAATGTACAGTTTAAGAGCTGGCCCCTGAAAGCTTGTGGAAGGGAAGGATTGAGAGCATCACTCTTCTTGGGTTTGTTTAAGCGGCACGTTTGACTGTGTGGTCATCTGGAGAGCATACAGGGGCTGCACTGCAACGTGTGCTCTGCACAGGCCTGTCTAGTTAAGACTGTTTGCTGGTAGATCTGACATAATAGTCCTTGTCATATCTTCTAACTGAAGAAGACTGTGGCAGAATGTTGGTGATGTTGCAAAGGGGTCTGCTTCTTCACTCTGGGAGCTACTAGGATGAGGGCTCTTTTCTCTTGCCCTGACTCTGGTCCCCCCATCCCCACATCCCCCCAGCTGGCGGGAAAGAAGCAACAGGAAGAATCCTTTGGGATTTAGAAGTGGCTTACATAGCCATAAAAAGGAATGAAGTACTGATGCGCACACTACAACAGTGATGAACACTGCAAACATTACACTAAGTGAAAGAAGCCAGGCACAAAAGGCCACATATTGAATAATTCCATGTATAGGAAATGTCCAGAATAGGCAAACCTTTAGAGACAGAGAGTAGATTAATAGTTGCGAGGGGCTGGAGAGGAGGAGTAGAGAGTGATTGCTAATGGATACAGGGTTTCTTTTTGGGATGATGAAAATGTTCTGAAATTAGATAGTGATGATGGTCCAACAGCTTTGTGAATACTTTACAAAACACTGAATTTATACTTAAAAAATTAAAAATCAACTGTAAAAAAATGACTTAGAGGGGCTGGCCCCGTGGCCGAGTGGTTAGGTTCGCGCGCTCCGCTGCAGGCGGCCCAGTGTTTCGTTGGTTCGAATCCTGGGCGCGGGCATGGCACTGCTCATCAGACCACGCTGAGGCAGCGTCCCACATGCCACAACTAGAAGAACCCACAACGAAGAATACACAACTATGTACCGGGGGGCGTTGGGGAGAAAAAGGAAAAAATAAAATCTTTAAAAAAAAAAATAAATAAAATCTTAAAAAAAAAAAAAAAAAAATGACTTAGAGGGGCTGGCCTGGAGGGGTAGTGGTTAAGTTTGCATGCTCTGCTTCAGTGGCCCAGGATTCATGGGTGTGGACCTACACACTGCTGCCATGCTGTGGTGGTGTCCCACATACAAAATAGAGGAAGATTGGCACAGATGTTAGCTCAGTGACAATCTTCCTCACCACAAAAAAGGCTTAGCAAAACTGATCTCATTTTCATACCCACCCTCCTGCCCTATTGCCTCTGAGAGATGAACTCCTGCCTCAAATTGAGACAAACATGGAGAGGAAATGATGACTTTGCTTCCTTATGTTAGTGGAGTGTCTGGCTCATGAGAGAACTTGCGTGATGATGCATTGCTTCCTTTGTTGACTTTGAAGGTCATGGGGGAGGCATGTCTTTGAGTTACATGATTTGGAACCTCCATAGAAGGAGTACTGGGCCAGGAGTCAGCACACTGGAATTCTTTGTTGCACCATCATCCTTTGGTTGGCAGGTCAGACCTGCTATGGACTGAGAGTTCCTTATCTTAGAAGAAACAACTAGTTGTTTCTGTATTTCTGGTTTACAGGCCTGTGTAAAGAAAATGAGTTGAAGAAGAAAATGGTAAAGTTAAAATGTGTAGTAAGGGGCTGGCCTGGTGGCTTAGTGGTTAAGTTCGCGCGCTCTGCTTTGGTGGTCTGGGGTTTGCCGGGTTGGATCCCAGGTGTGGACCTGTAAACTCCTTGTCAAGCCATGCTGTGGCAGGAGTTCCACATACAAAACAGAGGAAGGTGGGCATGGATGTTAGCTCACAGCCAATCTTCCTCAGCAAAAATAGGAGGATTGGCAGTGGATGTTAGCTCAGGGGTAATCTTCCTCAAAAAAAAAAAAAAAAAAAAGGTGTAGTAATGCAGTGTTGTTTTTCATGAGGTGAAATTCACATAATATAAATTTAACCATCTTCAAGTAAATGCCATTCAATGACATTTAATGCATTCACAATGTTGACTGCAGTATTCTTAAAGTAGAGCATTCTCTGAGTGAAAATTTTATGTTGCTTATATTGACGAAATAGTTGACTTTGTATATTGCATGTGGACTATATCTCAAAATGAATGTATTCCTTAAAAGTCAGTCTGCAGAGCTGTGCTCCCACTTACCACCTGCCTGGAATTAACCCAGAACAACACCTTGACAGCATGTGGGTGTGTAGAGGACACAGAAGGAAGACAGTTCCAGAGAGATGTTAGTGGAGTGTCTGGCTCCATCTGAGAACTTGCAGAAAGAAATGCAGAGGGAAAGGCTGTCATAGAAAGTGCTCTGTGGGGCCGGCCCGGTGGTGCAGCGGTTAGGTTCGCATGTTCTGCTTCTCGGTGGCCCGGGGTTTGCCGGTTCGAATCCCGGGTGCGGACATGGCACTGCATGGCACGCCATGCTGTGGTAGGCATCCCACGTATAAAGTGGAGGAAGATGGGCATGGTTGTTAGCTCAGGGCCAGACTTCCTCAGCAAAAAGAGGAGGACTGGCAGTAGTTAGCTCAGGGCTAATCTTCCTCAAAAAAAAAAAAGTGCTCTGTAACTAGCATGCTGCACATGCGTGTTATCACTATGGCAAAGGACACAAAAGGACTGTTTGCTTCGGGGAAGGACCACCTCAAATGATTCCAGAATGAGGAAGCTGGTTGCTTTGATACCAGAGATGAAGTTGGGTAGGGGGTGTTCCTGACCTGGTGCCCTCAGAGAAGGGAAGAGTAAGGTGGTGTTAACCTGGAGTGACATGGGCTTTGAGCAGGAGTTGCTAGTTATAAAGGACTGAGCTCCAAACAAGGTCACCCCCTGTTCATCGTCGGTGGTTCTCTCCCTCTAGGTCATGTTAGCTTTCTCTGCTGTGGCTACGTGACCTTGCTTGCAGCTGACCCTTCCCTCTAGGTCCTGGGACACATCCTGTTTTGGATGCTCATTCTGCACTAAACCAGCCATGGCATCAGTTTCATGGTGACCTTTGCATCTTGGCTCTCCAGTAATTGGGCTCTTGCAGAATCTCTTTCGAGTGACAGACTTTTAAAAGTTAAGCCTTCAAGTTCCTTCTTCGGCCCAGGCTGGTGACCCTCGCAGCCAGCAGGAATCCTTCTCTTCCTTGTGGCGGCCCTCAGGAGCTCTGCCTGCTTTTGTCCCCTCTTTACAGTTGCCACTACTAGCTTGAGCCCTAAAGCCTGGGTGTGGAGGGTACTAGGATGTCCTCGTTTTTCCGAAGGGGACGCAGGGACCCGCCCCTCACTGTAGAAACACAGTGGACACCACAGATTGAGAAAGTTATAAAGGATTGCTTCTGATGACCTTCTGAAGCTGGTAATTAGAAGTTGGTTCAATCTTGTGCTTTCTGTGTTTACTCCTGAAAGAGGTCAAAACCGTTGCCTGCTCTGCCCCCATTTCCTTTTTAGGCCTATTTTTAGGCCAAGGACTTAATGAACCCCTTCCTCCAATAAAGCCCCCCTTTCTATCAAGAAGACTTGGGTGATGCTAAGGTGGGACTGCAGGTGCCCCTTGTGCACAGTTCATGTCTTTTTCTGAGAAGCTCCAGACTCTGAGATGTTGAGCAATGCAGGTCTCAGTCCCTCACGTCCGTTAGGACATTTCTGCTTGTGGCAGATACTTTGAACAGCGAACACGTAACCCATTACCAGTCCCCTTTGCCCTTGCCTTTTTCTCCTTTAGAAGCCGCTGTGGAGGCTTCCTTTGCAACTAAGAGTGGACACATTCTGGCTGAAGTCTGCTGTGGAGTTTCTGGAAAAGCTCGTGTTTTTCTGATTTAAACAAAACAAAAGACATCGCTGGTGCTCTCATATTCCACCCCTCCCCTGCTTCCTGCTTTGAATGCAGATGTGATGTCTGGTGGTCAGGCAGCCATATTAAAACAAAGAGGCAACAAGCCAGAACCCTAAGGATTGGTTGGAGTGGGCCTGGATGGGGGTACAGCAGTAGAGGAAGCATAAAGATCAGCTAAGAGACAAAAATCCTAAGTCTTAAAGCTTTCTCAGATAAGATCTTTGGCTTTGGTTATACACACAGGAAATTTTGCAAAAACTGTTCCTAACTGATAAACACCTAATGAAATGCATGTGGGGATAGTTTCTTTAAATGATGGGAATAAGTAGGGGAGAACACATAGCACAGAGAAG